TGGGAAGAGCCATGATCTCTTACGCCGTGAAAGAATACGCCAAATAAACGAAAACTGTTACACAATTTTCACTATTGGTACAGAATTTTCATTTGACTCTACATTGATACGAACAACCACCATATGCACAAAACTAAAAAGATATTAAAATTACAAACTGAAAAGTCGGTTTTGCGACCACTACATCCGTGTACCAAATAGATCTAATAAAGACAGCGGAAATCAGAAATCAATCAAATAAGTACAAGTTTGCGTCCAGATGAAGTATTGTAATCGGACAACATTTCATATTTTTACTTTGTCACAATCTATGATGCTGCAGTCAGGTGTGTGGCTATAGTTTCTTTTACCACCAACATCTTCACACGACTGGTGATCGGCGTAGTACCTCGGAAGCGATTTTTAGTAAAAGTTGTCATTGTTCAGTTGTGGACCAAGTAGGTTGAATCGTTACGCTCGTTTCCATAGCCTTCTCGAAGCTAATATATTAAAGTTGGAGTGTTTCCGCCTCTTGCGGAATATTGAAGTTTAAAATTTTGTCACCGGGAAACAGATGCTAAACAGTAAAATGCATATAGTATGAATTGATTAATTTTATTGTCCATAGTAGGGAAATTTTGTCGAATATTTGCCAGTGAAGGAGAAAGAGGAAACGAGTGAATGAAAAACCTCATATTTTTAGTAGTTTGAAGCTCGTGTGTTCACTAAGAGGTAAAAAGTCTCATTGAAATAAAATTGAGGGAGAAACTCCACATAAAATAAAAACTCTCACCTTCCGCTAATTCATTATTTGTGTCCAACAATTCCCAGTCGAAAGAAAAGTCATTCAAGCCTGCTACATCTACTTTGATAAAAGAAACATTTTTTTTTTCACTTTCTTATCTTTCCTTTTTTATGGTGACGAATCGTACTTCCCTGATCGAAACTTACAACTTTACCGTAATATAAATGCAACCGTTCGTTGATCCTGTCAAATCACTGAATCCTGTTTCTTTCTATTCCTGGTGACAGTTGTTTTCAAATCACTACTATTTATATAATTTAGTTTATTTTTCGGTTGTTGAAGATTTTCAAATAATAATGAAGCATTTGTAGTTAAATGCATCAGATATTTATATACTGTATTTCAGAAAAAAACGTATTTCCTTGAAGCGCCCATCCTACTCAAAACACCTAGCATTCTTTATAGCATCTTCACCATGAGCCATTTTTAATAAGGCTAACGTTAATCGAAATTTATCAATACTCCTACAAACCTTGATGTTAAACAGCTGCTCCTGTTCTATTTGCTCATTTTTCGACAAGAACATCGCATATACATTTAAAACTTCTTCTAATACTCGGCAACGAATGAATCAGCTGGTCTGCGTCTAAAGCTTGATCATGTCTGGAGGTACTCTCGTAAAATTTTTATCTGACGCATCACCGCAATGTGATGCTACGGTTATTGTCGTAATTAAATTCTAACACCTCATACATACTCTAAAGAATAGAAAACATAGTTATTTAACAATATTCAATCTTCACAACAAAAATGCTTGTTGCAAAATGGCTAACTATAAGTTGTGTGGATTTTATGCAAGTTGACAGAACTATAAACAAACCTGTGACGTACTAATAGTGCATTAAAAACAGACACTCTTGAAAGAAAATATAATGAATAAGTGGGAAGAAAGATGGAAAATTTGTTACAACTTTCGAATTATAACTGAAGTTCATTAATAACGTTTTGCATATGAATAAAATGTGTGAAACTGAAACAAAAATCGACATTTTATTTGAATAAATCTCATGCTATGGCTGTGATTTAAAAGAAATTTCTTGAATTTATTTAGTGTTTAAAGTTAAAAAATAATGACTTAAAAAATGTTATGAAACATTTTCATTATTTGAACAAGTTCTTTCTTTGTTTTACAAAGAAAAATTCATTAGTCTTTGTTTGAAAACACGGTATTATGCTTTTTAAGGTTAATGAAAACGGCGAAGCAAAGCAAAAGTTTTGAAGGAAAAGTATGAAGAAAAAGAAATTATTTTCATAATTATGAGACGAATTTATTTCTGTTAATTTCAAACATATTTATATTTTTATTTTAAAATATTTTGTTGAGATTGTTTTGATTATTAATATTGATTAGAACGCCTTCAGTATTCATCTGCTTAGAATTTTTTCTATTTTCACAATCTCATTCATTGCTAAATGCCATTTTCGTATTCATATACATACATTCATATATACTCATTCATACTCCCAAACTCTAGAACACACACTCACGCACAGAAACACAAGTAAAGCCATGTACCACAACGCGCATAATCACACGAAAGCACACACACGCAAATATATATGTATTCTCAAATTAGAATAATTGTTAAATCCAGAATAACTTATTCATAAGACTGTTTTGCATGTTTAGCTTTAAACATCACAAAAAAAAAGAAAACCAAGAAAATGGATTTTCTTATAAGATGATGATAAATTGCCGCTTGAAGAATATTAGCGCGTTTAGAAACAAAAACAAAGATTTTTGTTGCTGAAAAAATTAACCATAGCATTTTAAAATATAAAAGGTGAAATAATGGAAAAACTTAAATTTTCATATCTTGCTATATGATTAATTTGTAAAATTTTCTATGTATTCAATTATTCTAATCTTTAAAGATAAATAAAATTCAGTTAGCAGTTGTGCTGTTTAATGGTTCCTAATGTTGCACATAATCCGGGCGAGATTTGAGATCGTGACGTTATAAATGCAACGTAAGAAATTTTGTGAGATGTTTTTTATTTAATGCAGGTTTGCCATCGTGATTTATTTAAAAAGACTAAGAGAAATCGAACAAACTTTTAATTAAATTCTGATTTTAAGGTTAGTATTTTAAAAACATTTACTTTTGGAAAATATGTTTAAATACTTGATTGTCAGAAAAAAATATTATGGTTTACAATAATACATCTTTATTTTACAAGTATATTCTGCAATATTTATCTGGAAAGTACGGATTTCATTGTAATTTACCCGTTTCAAGTGAGTAACTTCATGAAGTTATGAATTTAACAAATGTTATTTATAAGCAAAAACAAAGAAACGAAAATGATGATTTATAATTATTTTTATTCACGCGACGTTCAACAGTCGTGATTTTCTAGTGACTTAGGGCACCGTATGATCAAGTGGACTGTGATGAGAGACATCACAAATTTACTATTGGTTCTCATGATGTCTCTCATCACAATTTTACTGTTGGTTCCAAATAACCCACTGGCCAAAAGTAAGGAGAATTAAATAAATAAATACAAATTTTTGGGATTAAGTGTCTTTCGATCGGAATATAGTAAATTCCGATCGTAAACTTATATAGTCTGAATGCATTCTAGAACTGGTCAGTCATGAGTCTTCTGTTGGTACGTAGAGAGAAAAAATGAGAGTTGCAGTCGCATCTACTAATGGGAAAAGGGACAAACGGAATTCTCGTTGGCCGAAGTGAAGGTCAGGCCCGTTAGTCAGTCGTAAGAGAAGATATATGTAACCTCCAAGATGTTCTAAAGATCACTTATTCAGTCCGGGCGAGGTGAACCCATGAATAAATACCAAGTTACCCATTGAGAACAGAAGTTGCGTTTTCTTTTCTCACTCTAACTATATTTCACCTTCCGTTCCTTTGTTGAACATACACCGGGTCTTACTCATTTTTTTTTCACACCGACTCAAAACCAGAATCGAAATACGGCGTCGAGTAAAAGCTAACTAGTTTGCGACAAACTGATTGAGTACCTGCCTGCACGTTAATAATGAGGGAATCCTAAGAGTTCAACTTAAAGCTTACCTCAATTCGAATGCCGTTTGATGAAGCTAAAACAAAACTCTTCCAAAGACAAAATGTTTTTTTTTCTTCTTGCATTTCGTGAATTATGTGTTATGAGCTATATTTGGTTGGTTGTTTGGTTGATTTTGTTTAGCGGCATATTAGCATCTATGGGTTATTTAATGCCCAGGCAATTCAACTACAGATAGTATGTATTGTTGGCCATTCTACTATAAAATGTGTTTCTGCTCATTTTACTTTAAAAATGTATTGTTGGTAATTTTACTATAAATAGGTATTGTCGGTAACTTTATATAAAAATGCATTGCTGGTATTTTTACTATAGATATGTCTTTTTATACTCTCATAGTGTTTTGTTTTTGTTTTTGTTTTTTTGTTCACTATTTCCCCACAGCTGGGACCCTAACAAGTGCTACCGCCCTGGGTCAGGGTGGAACAACAGCAATTAAGGAGTGGTTTCACGCTTCTCAAAGCGTCCACTCTCCCGATCAGAGGCCTTCATGTCGGATGCAGTTTATCGTTATATACAGGACTAATGGGAAAATACGCTGTCATGTTATCCCCTAAGAACTAAATCAGTTCATTTGTCACAACAGTATTTTAAATCGTGTGTGGTCACCAAGATAAAAATGTCGAAGATATTTACCCTTCTTCCCAGTGGTTTGATTTTCGAAGCATAGCTTAGATGTGGCTCAACCCAGAATGTATAGAGCAATATGATTTTCGAAGCGTAGCTAAGATGCGGCACAAGACTGCATGTGGGAAGCACCGATTGAGGATCGAACACACCACTCACTCGTAATTTATCTAGCAAGACAAGCTCGTTAACCATTGCAACACGTAATGTACCATCTTCTCTCTAGTGGTGACACCATGTGATACAAGGTCGGTTAACCGCAGTTAGTTGTTTTTTGTTTAGCAGTATATCCACCTCTATGGGTTATTTAATGCCGAAATCTAAATATTTTATACGCAATTTTATTTTATTTTTGGCGATAATAATGGTTTAGTGATACACGTTTTACTAATTAACCCAAAGCTGGAGGGAGAAGAGATGGATTCATACTTGTCCCAAGTGTATCGGTACGTAAGTGAATATAACGAATCTCAATTAGAACTCGGCTCTACGATTAATAAGCTGCGAGCCATTATCTATTACACCACCTGCACATCCAAACTTACAGCACTCTGGTATTCTCAAGCGGTCATCCATTTAGGTACTGACCAGGCTCAACGTTGCTTAACTTCGGTGATCGGACGGGAATCAATGTTTCAATGTGACGTGGCCGTAAGCACTGGTTAACCGCGGGGTGCTTATTTACATGTATGTAGGCCAAGGTAGAAAACTGCCTAATTTCTGCAACCACCATCATTCGGGCGCCGGAATCCACCAGATCTCCCTCTTTAGGTAAGAATGTATAATGGCTACATGTTCTATCATTGTATGAATTATTACAGTTAACACTCTTATATTCATTAATCCATCAAAACAAAATATTGCATATCTTAAAGTCTTTCTATATTTGGCTCGTAATATAAGAAAAAAAGAAGAAAATAAAAAACACAATTTTGTCATTGTTTAATTTTTTGGAAACGTTTTAGAAATCATTGATTAATAATGCCTTGAGTTGTTTTTTCAAGTATAAATAAAGATGGAATCTATTGATTGTATGCTGTAGTGGTAAAAATACATTCAAACAGAGAGATATTCTATTTGATTGCGTTGCTAATAAAGCAAAATGGGAAGCAACGCGTTAAGTGCCTGCAACCTAAGTATGTATAATATATCTCTACTTGATTACTTTGAAACAGCTGAAGTATAGAAATGTTTAGATCGATAAAGACGGGAAATTACGCTCTGGAGGTGTTTTCCAGTTAAAAAAATAATGTAGCAATCACCAGACGCTAAGTAGAAGGAACTTGAATGTATAAAAGATTTTCAATCTCTTCCAAAACAAAATTACTGCTTATATTCATGAGTTACTTTTACTGCGAATTCGCATTAAAATTATTGTCGGTTGTATCGTTGTCGATGCAACTGAAAATCATTATCTTGAGCGACACAAAGATAAATTTAACATTGGTCAACGTGAATCTGAAGAAAATAAATGTTAAAATATATACGCCTAGGTTCCTATTTAACTACTGAAAGACTAAATCATATTATATGTTATGTGAAAACCCATGAAAGCCACAATTCTGACGTTTCCAAGTCTTTTCTTTTTTTAATTTTGAAGCCTTTCCTGATATTGTATCATTGTGTATTTAAAGTTTCTCGGAAAGAATTAAAAAAATATGAAATACTATTATATTGATTTCGCATTCATTTTCTACGACAGATCAACACTTTGCGGTTTGTTTTTAAAGCCAGTGAATATTTTTAGAGTGTAAGAATATCTGAGAGGGATGATAATGGTTTAGTGATGCAAATCTTACTAATTAACCCATTGCTGGGGTGGAGAAGATGTGAATTGATACCTCACCCAAGGGTATTTACTCGTAAGTGAATATAACGAACCCAACAGGAATTGGAACTCGGCTCTCCGATTATCAATTCTGATCTATTATCCATTACACCACCCACACATCCAAGTCACCTGGTATTCTTAAGCGGTTACCCATCTAGATATTGACTAGGCTTGATGTTGCTTAAATGCTGATTGTTTGGGAACCACTGTTTCAACGTGATCGTAATCCCCAAATTCTATTACAAAAGTAAAAAAAAAAAATAACACTTACATATGTTGTTCTTTAAGTGTATCTTATCATTAAACCACGGGAAGCTATTATAGTAAAGCAAGACTAAGTTATCCGATTTAATAAATGCCCATCTCTTGTTAGGACAATTCGAAGTATTTGGCTTTTAATTCCTTTTGATTCCTGGTAAAACAGGCGAAATGACTTTTTCATTTCGTCTATAACATTACCGATTATTGTGAATTTGTTTTACTCGCAGGATTTTATAAAACTGAATTCATACTTCGCGTAAAAGTTTCAGTGTTTAACTCATAGTGTTCTTGAATCTCGTGTAATTGATTGTGAGTGTTTTAAATAGACTTAAACAAGATTTTCAATTAAGCACTCACCTACTCTTTCAATCATTGATCAAGCAATACAGAACTGACCAATAGACGGCAGACTGAAATCGAATTCTTTACACAGAATGAGGCTTCGTCCTTATCTTCTGCTTCTGCCTGAATAATTTCCAATTATAACGGATTTCTTCGATCTCAGAATACAGGCGATCACTGCATAATTCGCTTCCAACGCAAATACACACACACACGTAATAAATGATAAACTTATTGCAATACTGAAAATCTATTGAAGTACTCAGTAGTAACCTAATCTCACAAAATTATTAAGAATGTTTTAAGTTCGATCCTCGTTGAGAGATCCGCGCTTGTAGCTTGAAGAAGATGTTCATTAAATTGTTCGTAATTTTGGGGATAAAAGCGGAGATAATGTTACCAATTTAGATCAAATATATAAAATCTAAATCGATAATATTTCTTATTCTTATAAACGATGTACATCTACAGAGATGTACATTCCTTAAATAGGGTAACTGAGACTTGTTTTAAAATATACTATATATATATTTCTTTGTAAACTTAACATGTAATTTGTTTTCAGGTACTAGGCTTACCCGGGATTAAATCTGAAATGTCTTTTAGAAATGGGTTTTATATAGTCGAATCCCGTTATGGTAATGTTAATAGTAACATTAGCTGTTTCCTTATAAGGAAGCATTCAGCATTCATTGACCAAGCAGCCAGTACTATCATCGGTTGAAATGTATAAAAACTTTCTTTTAAAACAGTTTTCCACAAAATAAATATCTCAAGTCTACTAACTGTTAGCGATTTAGAAAAAAAATTCATTTATTTATTTACAACTCATGATTTAACGATATTTATTTTTTATTATTATTATTTCTTCATTGGATGTATTTTCCACACACGGAAATAAAATCTAACCAACGAAAGGGAAGCAATCGATATATAATAATTGAAACTACTGTAAATTTGAAAAACACCTTTATAGAAAAGATAGACAGACATATAGAACATATCTTTTATTAAAATTTTTACAGTCAACAACCTAATATTTAACGTCTATGAAACACAAATTAAAGCCCTCACTCGGATGTTGTACAGATTTCATTCATCATTGTCGGAATACGAACTTCCAAGCTTTCTCTAATAAATTGCAAGTATCTCAATAAAATATTCAAAATGAATTTGTGACAATATTTTTTACATAAAAACGATTCATAGAAACTTTAAAAGACTAGCACAGTTTATTTCTGATACCAATCTTTTCAACTTTAAATTAATTGCTACGATTTTGATATTTTAGAAAAAACTTACGAACACCAACTGCAGAACATTGGGAATGGAAATAAATGATCGTTCTATTTTATTTGTTCTTTTTTTTTTTTTTTTGGTGTTTAATACTTTAACATAACGGACAATATGTCCTGTTAAAAAGTATGAAAGCGCGTGAGTCTTGGATTTTTACTTAGTTTATTTCAAATACAAGTATCAGAAATAGAATTCAAGAACTAATATTTTTCTAAACTTACGCTTCAGTACATCAGCAATGTCCACATAAGCTGGCACAAACGAATTTATCATATTTTTTCGGTGAACTTAGGGAGGCTATATAAATACATTTTGGAAGTAAATAAAAAGCCAGGCTGTCGACAAAACTCAAATTCTGAAACCAAGCGGAACGTTCTGAAAACAACTAATAAATCTATTATTCTTCCAGCATCTCTTATGTTAATTCTGTTGTTCTTAGTAAAACTTTTTATATGATCTTTCATTTCTTTAAAAAATTAAACCTTTTAGCTCGTATAAGACATCAAATTCAATTTTCTCTTCTCTTGCTATTTCCATTCTTTATTAAAAGAAAATAATATCCTTTTTCAGATATCAAATACTTAATCTCTCTTTTATTAGTTACGTACATCTCTTGATAATAGAGCAGTTTCAAGCTTGTTTTTTTTATTACACACATAAAAGTATTATAATCTTAATTATCTGCTTTAATTTACGCCATTTCCTGTATTTCATTCAAAAAGTCCCAAATCTCACCTAGAAAGAGGATTTTTGTTGTGGTAACATACTACTACTTCTTATAAGACGAAAAAATTCTAATTCAAATTCCTCTCTTAATTTCCATGCAGGAGAGGTCCACACAAATGTGAAAGGTTATGAGATAAATCTAAAAATAGACAAAGTTATATCTACAAAAGAAAGTTATAACACACAAGGAAATACATGAGGACGTGTTTAAGGTAGTTTTTCAGTGCTCCCCTTCCTATACAACTGTGAAGAATTGAGCTGCAGAATTCAAGCGGGGCAAGGACAGCACAGATGATCCTCAATCAGGTCATCCAAAAACATCAACCACTGATTAACAAGTTGATGCTATTCACCTCATGGTTTTGGATGGCAGACGTCTTACTGTCCAGCAGATAGCTAAGTCAATAGGCATCAGTTCTGATTCTGTCTATACTGTTTTAACTGAGATCTTGGGTATGAGAAGGCTGTCTGCAAGATGGGTCCTAAGAAAACTGACACCAGAGAAGCTGAAAATGGTTGAGATTTCCAGGACAATTCTGGCTCCGTTCAAGGACTACCCTGAGAATTTCCACCGTAGATTAGTAACTACAAAAACCTGGGTTCACCACTTCGAACCTGAATCAAAGATTTAAAGCAAACATTGGAAACACTCTGATTCTCTACCCCGACGGTGTTCAAGCAGTTGGGATTTCTGAAGGTGTAATCATGATAGACTAACTGAGAAGGGGAAAACTATGGATGAACAGTACTATGCATCAAAATTAAGACAACTGAAGGAAGCAATTAAGTTAAAACATAGAGGGCAGGTGTGCTCTTGCTCCAGGATAAGGCGCCCGTTCACACATCTCAGGTTGCAGTAGCCAACTGTAATTGCTACCCCATCCTCCTTACCAGACTTAGCTCCATCTAACTTCGTCCTGTGTCCTAAACTCAAAGCCAACCTGCGTGGTTGTCAGTTTGGAAACAATAGTTATATGTGCTGTGGAGGAGTTTTTAGAGGACCAGAACGCTACCTTCTTCTGTGGTGAGATTGCAATACTTAAGCATCGTTGAACCAAATGCATTGATGTCAAGGGGAACTATATTGAAAAATAGTGAAAAACCGTCTTGTTCCTCTAACTCCTTCTGGGTGAGCCTTAGAACTTTTTGAACAACCCTCATATTCCAAAGTCATTGCATATGCCTCTATGAATGCTGT